GTAGAAAGGGCCAGTTGTGGTGGCTCATGTCTGTAGTCCCAACAATTGGGAGGTTGAGGCAGGATTGACATAAATTTGAAGCTAGCCTTGGCTACATAGTGAATTCCAGAAAAGCCTGAACTAGAGTGAGACCCTGTCTAAAAGAAAGAAAGAAAGAAAAAAAAGGACGGATATTTTGAAGCTAGCCTTGGCTACATAGTGAATTCCAGAAAAGCCTGAACTAGAATGAGACCCTGTCTAAAAGAAAGAAAGAAAGAAAAAAAAGCATGGATATTAAAAATCAAATCCCTGGGCCAACTAAACAGCGTTTAGTTGAATAGGCCACTGACTTTTGTGTCCCTTGGCGACCTACTGAACAACATAACAATTAACCAAAAACGATAGAAAAGACCTGCAAAGCCCATAGCAGTTGTTCCAGGCTTCTGCAAACAAATTCATGGAGTCCAAAGCCGAGCTGTGCCATTTGTAACTAGGGACAGGTAATCTTGTTCTGTTAGTTCATCTATAAAATACTGACAGTAAAATCACACGGATAGGAAAACTATGAGAATTAGATGCGATAGCACGTCTATCATAACAGAAGCTCACGGTGCCCCGGGAACATTAACCATGCTACTCCTATTACAGGGGTGGCTGTGCAGAGCCGTAAAATCACACGGATAGGAAAACTATGAGAATTAGATGCGATAGCACGTTTATCACAACAGAAGCTCACGGTGCCCCGGGAACATTAACCATGCTATTCCTATTACAGGGGTGGCTGTGCAGAGCCCTCTCTTTATTGTACCTCTGGGACCCACAGGTCAGCGACTGTGCTAACACCTCCCGGACGCTAGAGGGCGCTGCTGCAGCAGTGGGCGGCGCCTGTCTAGGGTGCTCCCGGAGCTGAACCCCAGGCGTCAGCTTCAAGGCTGCGGACGAAGGGAAGGGCAGAGCGGTCAGCGCCAGTAGAACTCCGCCTGATGGAGGCGGGGCGAGAGGCTCAGCAGGGGCGGGGCCTGCCAAGGTAGGCCTGACGGGGCGGAGCTAGAGGAGCTGCGGGGGCAGGGCCTGGAGGCGTAGGCCTGACGGGGCGGAGCTAGTGGAGCATTGGGGCGGGGCGCGACCTGACCGGGGCTGAGTAGTCCACGTGATTAGAACG